TAGATCAGGTCCAGGAAAGCCTGGTTCTTATTCTGTGCATGGAGGTAATCTTCCTTGAGGAGCCTGTCATATCTGGCAGGGGCTGAGCATGAGTTCTGAAGTACCCACAAGTTCACAAGTATACACTGTTCACCACCTCTTCAAGTTCACATATGTAGGCTGTAAGCATGTAGAACAGCCAGCTTTTCTCCACGAGGGACCTGAGGATAAAACAGAGCTGTGACCTTTCACAGAATCATACCTGAACTACATTGCCACTTTCAGCAGTTCCTCCATATTATTTTGATATGTTGTTTCTTTTCTATGAACTGAGTTGAAAGCAAAGATGATAGTATGAGTTTGCAGATACCAGTCGTTATGGTGAGATGTATGGTGTCATAAAATACAGCTGCTAGAACACAGGACCTGGTTTACAGCTACTGAAGTGTTGAGGGGAAAACAATCTATCAGCTAGGGCTATCTGTAAAGTTCTAGCATAAGAACAGGTCAAATAAAATTAGGCTCTTTTCTCATGAAACTACCTTCTCAACAGTCTGGAGTAGAAGAACTAGAACTGTATGTACTGTGTCAGAGAGAATAAGTACTTCCCCATAGTTGGGAGCACAGGTTGAACACTGACAACAGGATCTGGCACAGCATTGGCAGAGACTGCACGCTGGCCTCTCAAGGAAGTAAATTTATTAGGTAACAGCTAGCAGGAAATACACTCTGTCTTCTGTTTGCCAAGTTATCTTCCTAAGTATGTTACTTTTCCCAGGAAATACTAGGATTTTGAAAGGCCACGTAGAACTCAAGATACAGAACAAGGGAGACATCTGCTAGAATGCTTTGCACTGCCTTGCAACACTGACAAGTATCTTTGAGTGGTGGACAGAAATACAACTAGTTTAAGCTTCTCAGACTATCTTATCTTTACCAACCATCATATGCATTTCAGCCAGCTCAAGAATGTCAGGTGCTTTTCTGAGGTACATGGCATGATTTCAGTCTCTCCCTTCCATACTCATTTCATAGAGGTATTTAACACCATCTGACCTAAGAACAAAGTAGTCAACTGTTGATCCTGTTTATTCATCAATTTGCCTGCCCCTGTATTTAGATTCCAGTCTAGCTGTTGTGCTGGCATAAAACAGTCTGGACCATCCCTGTATTTAGCCTGTCTTCCTCCTGAGTTCTTTCCAGTACCACTCTCTTTTCTTCAGGCAGGACCCAGCAGACTTCTTCCAATTTGTTAGATATGATACTGAAAATGCCACCTTTATTCAGCCAATCTAAAAGTTCCTACTGCTTACCTGAGAGGGGCTTGTATGTTCTGAGCATTTTCTCGCCTAGTCCTACCCACCACCAGACTGAAACCTTCCTCCTTGTCGAAAGTATTCGAGTTACTAACCTTTTGCTCCCTTGGCCTTCTGTTTACCCCTTCTTCCACCCTGTGCTGCCATTTCCTGTTCATTTGTCCTTTGCATCACCTGCCAATGCTACATGTTCAACACCACCATTTAGACGATTTCTTATTTTCTGCCTCAAGTGCAAATATACCACTTTCACTTATAGTCAAACCGCATTTCTTAAGCATATTATAATTACATATAATTACAATGCAAAGCAAAGAACAAATTCACACACAGCATCTCATCCCAATTTCCTTCATGTCTACAAAACAATATTAATTGCAATACAGTATTACAGTTTATATTTCTGTTCTTAGGCCATTTCTCCTGATCATCTGAAGTATATAAGGACCATCAATGATTACAATATTCAATCAGTTTCTTTCAGGTCAGTGGTTTCCCTGCCCTGATCCTTCCAGCATCCTTTAGAATTTCTCCATTCTGTGATTGGACAGAACCCATCCCCAAAATAACACACAAAACAGTACAATAACAACACAAAATAATAACCTAACACAAAACTACAATACACAGCTTAGCATATTAACCTAAAGGGGACTCTGATATTTGTTCCCAGTTCTTTAAAATACATCCTAATGGAGACATTTTCAAAATATTATTTTTAGATCTTAGTTAAACCTTATTAATATACAAAGGCAAGAACTGTAATCCAGTGAAGAAAGTCAGTAAGCAAAGCAAGTAACCCCAAAATCACAATACAATTAACAAAGCACATAATTCAAAATTACCAAGACCAAGGGGTGGGACTTGAACCCACAATCCTCCCAAAGGGGACTCAAACCCTTATGGCTCTTTCAGACTGCATGGGACTTGAACCCATTGCTGGGACTCTAACCTACCATTCTCCAGTACTCTGGGCATTCCTGTTATAGCATATGGAGTAAGGGGACTCAAACCCCTATGCCTCTTTCAGTGGGACTTGAACCCACTGGGGGACTCTAACTCCAAACCAGAAACCTGGATGTCCTCCAAATTTTTGTCTGGTAGAACTTGTCCAGGAGAAGACTCAACCCCCTTCTGGCCCAACCTTATGAGGCTTTCACCACATCTTACAGGCAGACAACCAGAAATCCCAAGAGAATGCCTTTACCAGGGGATTTGCTCTGGGCTCTTTGGTCTGGGCGTCAGAAGTTCTCCCTGAGAATCCCTCGGTGACAGCTGGAGGTCCTGTGATCCCACAGATCCTTCAAGATTCAGAAGCAGTGTTCCACCTGGGTTACCAAAATTTTACCATAAATCTGGGGGAATAATTCCATCATTCAACGTGCATCCAGCACTGCAATATAGAATGCCTGCCTTCTAAAACTTCCAACTAAGTCTTAGTCTTTTGAGACCGAATTTATGGTAACAGCTCTCCAGCAAACTGTGTCAGATAACCACTACCCACTTCCCCTGTCCTGAATTCATCACCTGGATATTGCCTCTTAGTTATCAAAGAGGGGAATACCTTGACGATCTCAAGAGGATCATTAATAACCTTCCAAATGTTCACTGGAAGGAGACCCCCATGGTAAATAATTTAGCTGATTCCATGAGATGTAGCTGCAGTTTGTTTATCTCCCATGGGTGCCAGTAATATTACTCTGAGTGTTTACAAATAAGTTTAGAGTCCAAGATATTTTTCCAGTTTGTTTTGGATTTTTTTTTTTTTTTTTTTTACAGGCCTCTGGCTTTTTTTAATCTTTCAAAGCATGGGAAGAGATACTGGAGCAAGACAGAAAGTAAGCCATATAGGCCCTGGTGGAAAGGTAGGAATGTGTTATAACTAAGCATGTAAATACCTCTGAAAGCAGAGTATTTTTTTTTTTTTCAGAGCTGTTAACTCATCATTTTTCTCCAAACAAAGACAAACATTTGTATTAAAGAAAAAAACCCCTGTGATTAACATAAATAAAAAAGCAATTAAATGTTTTAAGTTTGGTTTTGGTTTTGTTTTAATGTTTAAAACCTATCTTATCAGGTTCAGCCAAGAGGAAATTGGAGGAAGGGAGAAATGAGGACGATTTATCACATTTTTTGAGATTACACTGATCTCTGGGTGGACAGCCCATGCATAGCCTGGTTTGTTTTAATTCTTGACTGATAACACTATCGTAAAACAGTTGTTTTATTTCTACTGGAGTTAAAATGTAGTTATCCAATAATTACGGTCAATAAACCACTACATGCAACGAATGCAAACAGGCTGATTATTGCACCGGCACCAGCAACTCACCGGCACCAGCAACTCACCGGCACCAGCAACTCACCGGCACCAGCAACTCACCGGCACCAGCAACTCACCGGCACCAGCAACTCACCGGCACCAGCAACTCACCGGCACCAGCAACTCACCGGCACCAGCAACTCACCGGCACCAGCAACTCACCGGCACCAGCAACTCACCGGCACCAGCAACTCACCGGCACCAGCAACTCACCGGCACCAGCAACTCACCGGCACCAGCAACTCACCGGCACCAGCAACTCACCGGCACCAGCAACTCACCGGCACCAGCAACTCACCGGCACCAGCAACTCACCGGCACCAGCAACTCACCGGCACCAGCAACTCACCGGCACCAGCAACTCACCGGCACCAGCAACTCACCGGCACCAGCAACTCACCGGCACCAGCAACTCACCGGCACCAGCAACTCACCGGCACCAGCAACTCACCGGCACCAGCAACTCACCGGCACCAGCAACTCACCGGCACCAGCAACTCACCGGCACCAGCAACTCACCGGCACCAGCAACTCACCGGCACCAGCAACTCACCGGCACCAGCAACTCACCGGCACCAGCAACTCACCGGCACCAGCAACTCACCGGCACCAGCAACTCACCGGCACCAGCAACTCACCGGCACCAGCAACTCACCGGCACCAGCAACTCACCGGCACCAGCAACTCACCGGCACCAGCAACTCACCGGCACCAGCAACTCACCGGCACCAGCAACTCACCGGCACCAGCAACTCACCGGCACCAGCAACTCACCGGCACCAGCAACTCACCGGCACCAGCAACTCACCGGCACCAGCAACTCACCGGCACCAGCAACTCACCGGCACCAGCAACTCACCGGCACCAGCAACTCACCGGCACCAGCAACTCACCGGCACCAGCAACTCACCGGCACCAGCAACTCACCGGCACCAGCAACTCACCGGCACCAGCAACTCACCGGCACCAGCAACTCACCGGCACCAGCAACTCACCGGCACCAGCAACTCACCGGCACCAGCAACTCACCGGCACCAGCAACTCACCGGCACCAGCAACTCACCGGCCAAACGCCTGCCAAGCGCCGCCCCCGCCCAAGAGGTGCTGGAGTCGCTCTCGCTAAAACACCGACTAGCCCCCAGGGCCTGCAAAGAATTCAGGCCGGAAGCTAGACAACCCATACGCCCAGCACACTCCGCCCGCGCGTACAGCGCCATAAAGCCCATGAGCCCGCCCCTCCCTGAGGCACACCCGTCCGTTCGCCCCCACCTGCCGGCCCCGCAAGAAGAAGCAGCCCCGCCTACCCCCCGCGATGTGACCAATGGAGAAGGTGGTGGCGCCCGGCCCCGCCTTCCGCAGAGCGGATTGGTTGCCCGCCACAGGCCTACGCTGTGGAGTCGCCAGGTCTGGAGAGGGTTAGCGCAGTCGCGCGTGAGCAGTGGTGTGGCGGCCATCATGTCGCGGGAGTTCGAGCTGTGCCCTGGGCGCCGCGTTGGCGGCGAGCAGCCGTGTTTCATCATCGCAGAGATCGGGCAGAACCACCAGGGCGACCTGGCCCTCGCCAAGCGCATGATCCGCATGGCCAAGGTGAGCTCAACACTGCTCTGCCGCTGGTGGGCGGGGTGGCTGAGGGGCGGGAGCGTGGACGGGCCACCGGGGCTCCGCGGCAACCAGGCTTTTCTCTCCGCTGTTTGCGGAGGCTTGCTTACTCGAGTGAGATGGGCAGCGAGGTGCAGGTGAGCGAGAGCCCCAGGACACTGGCGGGGGCCGGGGAATCCGGGGAAGGTCGTGAAGCCTCGCCATCCCCGCGGTGGAACACTACAGTCGGGGAGCATTGTCTCCGGTGGCACTGCGTGGGAGGAGGGGAGTGATTTACAGGAGGAATTTTTAAAATAAAGCAGCAGCAAGGAGGCTGTCGTGGTGAGGGTCAACAAATCGAATGCTTTGTAGCTTTGGATCTGTAACTCACAGCCTATGATCACATGGTATTGGCTTTCAGGAAGCTCCTACCTCGTTCACCGCACGCGTACATGCGCGTACACGGACAGATACAGGCAGATAATATAGTCTCCGAGGAGTTAGAGAAATCCTTCAGTTGTGTCATAAGCTAACTGTGAATCTGGGAAGAATCAAGTAACTGCTGAACTGCCAGTTCCTCTAATTTGATGAACCTCTTAATTTGACTTGTTTGCATTAGGGTTTTTTGAGGTAATACTTGTGTCATTCAGTAAGACAGCCAAGCTGTTTTACAGTTTGGTGTTATATACATTAAATATACCTATGTTAGAAAACAGCATATAATCACTGAAGAAGTCAGGGTGTAGTGTGTTCAGGCTTATGACTGTGGTATAAGTGCAAAATAGTGTAGTGGTAATTTAACTTAACTGTTTGTGTGACTTCAAACAAATTTCAGATCCATACTCCTTGTTCTAGAGAATCCTGTCACTTGTTTTCATGTAAAATTATCATGTGACAGCTGAACTTGGAACATGCCACAGAAATCAATTCTTCAAATAAGTGGCATGCATAGCATGAGACAGTTCAGTTCTGTAGTTTTAGTATGATTTCTTTCTAGACTGCTACTCTATTAAATTAAGTATACAGACATTTTGAAATAAAATGGCTTGTATATGCAGATCCTCTGTCACTCTGGTGATTGCTATGATGATGATGATGATAAAACATGTAAAATGAGCACATTAGTTGCACAATCCTTATGTTCAAATTTAGGATGAGTGCAGTTTCACTTGCACTTCCATTCAGTGTGCACTAACTTGTTTTGCAGGACTGTGGAGCAGACTGTGCTAAGTTCCAGAAGAGCGAACTGGAGTACAAATTCAACAAGAAAGCCTTAGAGAGGCCCTATACCTCTAAACACTCATGGGGAAAGACTTACGGAGAGCACAAGCGCCACTTGGAGTTTAGTCATGACCAATATAGAGAGCTAAAGAAATACGCAGAGGACATTGGCATTTTCTTCACAGCTTCTGGCATGGATGAGGTATGTAAGCCATACTGGAATGACAAGCAGAGTCCATCTATTGTGTCTATTGGTTATTACTTAGGCACAATAGTTCTTACATAAAAAGAACACTAAATATGTGTGGATTCTGAATTTCTAAATGAGGAAACTAGAGTAATTGTACTTCTGCCAGTTCACCCGTGTCTCTGCAAAGGTTGAGTAGATGGCTGAACATTTTGCAAGACCTGCCATGTATGCTGAGGTAACTATGCAGAGTAAATCATATTAGAGACAAGGCCTCAATTGAACTCCATAAACAATTAAGGCTTTGAGACTTCAGGTCCAGACTGCAGTCTGACTGCTATCCAGTGTTGCCTGGAATATTTGCTCCAAGCATTTCAGACTTCCCTCTGTATTTAAACCAGATTTCTTTTTCAACTTAATCCCTATTATTTCCCTATTTTTTTCCTTTCTGCTGTTTATTAGACCCCAGCTGGTGTTTCTAAGCAGCAGAAGTGCTTACATTCCGTTCTTTTACTAATCTCATGGAATGATTTCCACCTTGCCCTGTTACTCCTGAAGCATTTACTGATTTTTGTCACTGAGCCCTTGAACAGTTAGTCACCAGCTTGTAAATTCCATGAAGCTCACCTGCTGCTGTTCTCCCTCGAGAGATGTATATTTCTCTTAACTCTTGCATGTTGCCTTCCTCAAAATGATGTTAATTACAGTGTTAACAAATACAGTGTAAAATTGAAATATGTAAACTGGAAAGATCAGGTAACAGTTAAACTTCAGTATAGATCAGAGATTACTTTTTTTTTAAAAGTTTTTTTGTGACCTAGAAAATACAGAGAACCAAACTGAAAGAGACCTTCCGGAGGTAAGCTAGACACTTGCATAAGGCAAGTACAACAATATCCATCTTTCTGCAAATAGCCTTATCCAGAATGGGACATGGATGGGATTTATTTAATGTTTTAAAGTGATCTGCTCAGTCCCTCCTCTCCTTACCATCAGAGAGAATTCCTGATGTATCAGATTAATCTTATTTCTCATAATTTTTTGTCCTCCCTCATCTGACATAAAAGTTCATACTTCCCTTGTAACTCATTTCTGTGTATTTGAACACCATTATCACATCTCTTTTCTGTTTTGTATTCTCTAGACTAAGCAATTTAAATCCCTTCAAACTTTTTATGCTGTCTTTTCTAGTCTTTTGGCCATTCTCACTGCTTCTATCAACTTACTGTCCTGTTAGACAAAATCCTTGAATTGCTATGCCCCAACTGAGATGGTATGAGCACCAAATACCGTAAAAAATTGCTTCAGATGTCTGACAGACAAAAAGGTGTTTTCCGTGTATTGCAATAGCGTGATGCCATGGACTTAGAAATAGATCTGCAAAAAGAAGGTGTTGTCAGTTTATTGTATTGTTATCTTCATGTCTAGAGACCTGCTGAACACCTATTCCTTTAAGAAAATAGTAATTAAATTCAGTAGTCCTGGACTTCTGTGTCTTTATGCCCATAGGCCTTTAGGGGAGAGAAATCACACTTTCTTTGATGTTAAAACCTCAGTCTTCTAAAGGCTTTAGTACATGCAGGACACCTTTCATACACAGCAACTAATATCACTTTCTACCAAGAGGATCCCTCTTTTTCTCAAGATGCTGTGCTCCTTTGTGTGTGGCGTCATCAGCTAATTAAGAGTACTGATACGTGTTTGTATATTCTGTTTTTGAACAGCAGTTACATTATACAGCTCCCAAGATTTCTGGTAGCATTTCTGCAAGACACGGGTTTGGAACTTACAGCAAATATTGCATGAATTTATGTAATAAATCCTAGAGAATATGGTAACTCCTATAAACTGAACATAATCTGGACTCCAGCTATGTCAAAGAGGTTAAATTGTGTGTTTAACTATATGAGGAAATCAATGAAGTGATGGGTGAAGTAAATATAAAAGCTGTGAGTAACCCCTTCGTCCTTTCTGTTCCAGTGTGTACTGGAGACAAAACAGGATTTTACTGAACCACTCCCTTTAATGTCATCCCTATTATTTGAGATTATTTCCTGTTCCTTTAATCTCATACTGAAAAGCTGCTAATTTTCAATATGTATTTGCCTAATGAAGAGAGGCCTTAGATATGAGGTCTATCTGTCATGCAATTTGTGCGATCTCCTCAGAGTAGATCTGTGGCTTTTTAATATAGTGTATTCATTATCTTCGTGCACAAGGCATCTTAGTGAATAAAGAGATGTTATGCATCCTAGGTACAAGAAACTGGATCTACATTATAATGATGATAGAAAAATTAGATTGAAGATGTGATTCCCTTCTGGACATAGCATTCTTTCTGTGGCACTAAGTAAATTTGACTGCAACCAGGAGTGAGCTAAAGAAATTAAAAGTGTTTGTGGGTGGTTGAATTGGAACAAAGTTATGTAACTATTTCATGGTTTCCCCAGGATGTGAATGGAAGATTTCAATCTCTCTTGCTTGCGATAGGTTTGGAATTTTCTTCCTTGAAAGTACTAACTTCAAAAGCCCACCTACTGTTGCAATACTGATTTTCATGGACCCTCCAATAACTCCTGAATTATCCTCAATACAGCACACACATTTTTAGAAGGCCACAGGGTATAACTAACATTTGAATAAACTGTTTTATAGTCTTTGGCATATTTTATATTTATTCTCTAGTATCTCCTGGAAGCAAATCCATTTGGGGACTTGCCTTTTGGGGTACTTAATTTTTTTCATGTGCTTATTCAGCATACTTGTATGATTTTTTTAGAGTGACAGATCTATTCGGGAAAACTACATGTAGTTTTAAACACTTTGTGGTTTAATGTTTCTGACCTGCATGAAGTATGTAGCAGGAGGACTGCCTGCGTGCCTGCAGTATGTTTCTTCTTCAACAAGCAAGCTCCCATCTGCAGGTAGTTGCTCTCTCTGGTCATGCCAATAAAACCAGCATGAATGCTATGTCCCATAAGCTCATTTTAAAGTTAGAGGAGCAGTGGAGCTCACCTGTACTAAACAGCTAAGTCAGAAACTAATATCCTTGGAATAGTAAACCTTATTTCAAGAGCAGTGTAGGATGGATGGATGGATGGATGGCCAATTTAATTAAGCTTTGGTTTTGCCATTTTGAGGGGTTGTTTATTTCCCAGCATGGTAGTTCTTTATCTTTGATCCAGCTGAAGTGGTGTGTTAAGATACAGTGATTTCTTTTCCTTGTAGATGGCTATGGAATTTCTACATGAACTGGATGTTCCGTTTTTCAAAGTAGGATCAGGAGATACAAACAATTTTCTGTACTTGGAAAAGACTGCAAAGAAAGGTAAGCATTTCATTTTGAGTTCTCTTGGTAACATCACTATGTCTCAGTAGATCAGGTACTAGATCTTCCCTCCAGTTGATTTTTGGAAAAAAATCTTAAGTACCTTTAGAAGAAAATCACCTTCAGATTTGGAAAAAAAAAAAAGTAGTTCACCCAGCTTCCTTTTCTAGTTTTATTGAATTAATTTACTTCAAGAATTTAATTTAATCTTGTGTAGCTTTCTTACAGACCTAAGAACATGTGCATGTTTTCTAATGGCTAGGTCGTCCGATGGTGATTTCCAGTGGGATGCAGTCAATGAACACAATGCATCAGGTTTATCAGATTGTAAAGCCCATCAATCCAAACTTCTGCTTCCTGCAATGCACCAGTGCATACCCACTTCAGCCAGAGGATGTCAATCTCCGTGTTATACTGGTCAGTGAGTAATGCAGAATGTGCCATGGGTAGGGTACCAGAGAAGCACTATGCACTTTTATTGAGATATATTTCCAGATCTTACTCATACTGGAATTTGCTTCCTATAATTCATGCACGCATTGAAGTAAAAATATACAACGGATCCTCTTGTAGTAGAACACAGCTTTGAGAAATGTAAAAAGGTTATTGCTGAAATATTCACTATTAAACAGAGGAAAATATGACATATAGTTAACAGGTTAACCCTGTGCTTTGTAGCATACAGAAAAATAAGGTAGACTGTTACCATTAAGGTGTATGGAATTGAGAACATAATTCTAAATAGGGGTCTAGAACAGAAACTTCTGTTAAAAATGTTTCATGTGAGTATCAGAGCAATGAAGAAAATGGATTAGGCCCTTGTATAGTTTCCTTCACTGAAAATATTACTTGGATATACCTGATAATGATGCAAGAAAATTTTCCTGAATTGTCCAGGGTTCAAGATTTTAAATACAGGGCTGAAGAAGTCTGCTTTGGATACAGGTTAAGTTTAACCAGTCTACTAGGTTCTTGGATGAAAATAGAGCACTACTTTGTTACTGTAATTTACAGTGATGTAGGTTTTGAAGAGTACAACTGAATTGAAAAGAAAAGCGTAACAGAAGTTGTAGAATAGAACATACCTTCTTTTCTCCTAGTGAAATTCTTAGAACACAACAGTTGCTAATGCAGTGTGACTTTTTGAATATAAAAAAATTTAATTCTCAGTATAACCAACTGCTTATTTTATGGCACAGTAATTGTCCGTGGTTTATACTGTATTTATCACTGTTAAATTTGCTTTGTCTTTGAAATTGCTACCTTGGTAATTCAGACCAACTCTGTCATGATTCAAGGCATATCAGTCAGCTTTTCCTGATATCCCCATTGGCTATTCGGGGCATGAAACTGGCATAGCCATTTCAGTGGCAGCTGTTGCTATGGGTGCTAAAGTAGTGGAACGCCACGTGACTCTCAACAAAACATGGAAAGGAAGTGACCACCAAGCATCCCTGGAGCCAAATGAACTGGCGGAGTTAGTGAAAGCCATTCGTACTGTGGAAAAAGCAATGGGTTCTCCAATCAAACAACTCTTGCCTTGTGAAATGGCTTGCAGTGAAAAGGTAACCTGCTTTTGAGTCACGTATAGCTGAAACTCATTTAGACCTATAGCTAATAACTATATTCAGAAAAATAGCTTGCTCATTGTTTATTGCAGCAGTGTTTCTGCCTCTGCACTCAGAAATTCCTGCTAAGTAGCAGCATGCACAGTGTTTGTGCTTAGCCTACTGTAATGTTAGCGTAGGCCTGTCATTTACTACAAACTGCTATTTCTGACATTCAGTACCTGTTTTTACCAAAGCATGATTTTGAGTATAATGGAGTTTTATGTATATTATCCAGAGGTTAACTAAGTTGGGTAGAATCATGGAATCATTTAGGTTGGAAAAGACCTTTAAGATCATCAAGTCCCAATTGTTAACCTAACAGTACCAAGTGCACCACTAAAGCATATCCCAAAGCACAACTTCTACACATCTGTTAAATACATTCAGGGATGATGACTCAATCACTTCCCTGGGCAACCTATTCCAGTGCTTGACAATCCTTTCGGTAAAGAAATCTTTCCTAGTATCTGATCTAAACCTTCCCTGGTATAACTTGAGGCCACTTCCTATTGTCCTATTGCTTGTTACATGGGAGAAAAGACTGACCTTGCTACAACCTCCTTTCAGGTAGTTGTAGAGAGCAACAAGGTTTCCCCTCAGCCTCCTTTTCTCTAGACTAAACAACCCCAGTTTCCTTAGCCATTTATCGTAAGACTTGTGCTCTATACCCTTCACCAGCTTTCTTGCTCTTCTTTGGATGTGATCCAGCATCTCAATGTCTTACTACAAGAAAGGACCCCAAAACTAACATGGTATTTACGTTGCAGTCTCAGTAGTGCTGAGTACAAAGTACTCTGTAATAGCAGGAGTAATAGGTCTTTATGACTGTATATGAGCTGCTTTTACTCTAAGCTAGAATACTAGTCATTCTAATGAGATTCCCTCTATTCTGATTCTGAAAAATTTCACTGAGCCATTATCCAGTTTCAGAAAGGGTCTAGATGTTCTGAGCAGCTTAGTTACAGTGAAGGTTTCCATGCTAACTCAACATTCATTTAGATTAAGTACTAATGGGGAGGGCAGTTCCACACAACCTGTTCCCAAGTAACTGCAGAATATTTTTTAGCCTTTTTTGGTATACTAAGCCTAGGAATATGTTTGACTTACTTTTTTTTTTTTTTTTTTTTTTTT